CGGTGTAACGGACTTGAAGTAGTCTGGAAATCGTGTTTATAATGATTTGCGCAGTAACCTGATTTAAAACGAATTATTTAAGAAATCTTTAAGATTTTTAAAGCAAAATATAAGAGAGAGTTTCAGATCTTTCGTATACGCCCCGCCATACAAATTCTAGCTACATTAAGGCTGTCAGACGTCTTAGTTTTTTAGGATTTGTCCTGAATTTAGCCAAATTGTCCTGGTGTCCTGGTCAACACCTAATTTGACCTGGGTTTTTAATGAAGGTCAATACCACGGATGCCAACTCTCTTAAGGCTAATTTACCCAAAATTCCTGAAAAAATCCCCCTATTTTCAACAATTATTTTTACTATTTTCTATAAACTGAAGCGGTACACAGCTGAGAGGACATACATGCATACTAGAGATGCTGTTTTTAAATCGACAAAATGGAAGATCAATTAATCGGGCCCCTCCGATTCAATTACTTGTCGATTTTTTAGCTCCGATTCGATCCGTGAATTGATTCATTAAATTCGAGAATCGTTGTTAGATTTGTCCTCAGTTGATGCATATTGAACTACGGTTTGCCCCAAAAAATCTATAAAATTATAAAAGAAATTTGAATTTGCGGCTGGTGCAAAACCAGTAAATTGAGAGAGAAAATACTAAGAAATTCAATGACCTACCTATGTTTCTCCTGCGACTACAGGACTCCTCAGAGAAGCCTCTTAAAAATAAGTCCATATAAAATCATGGCGAATACTACTTACATTAAAAGCCCCAATAATTGGAATTNTGATTAAATGCTGATTTAAATTATTTTACTCATAATGATAACCGTCCCTGAAAAAAAATCAATCCATTGTCCGTGGCCGCACAAAACTTAGAACGCATTGAGCCTCACTCTCATGTGGATATCAATCAGTTATCGACACTGCTTATATTTTGATAGGTACATTTCAAAATATCGAATAAAATGCGTGACAAATGCAGGACAGTTGGAACAAATCAGTACATTTTCAAGATTTTCCGTTTTGAAAAGTATGCAGGACAGACCTTTGAATAACAGTACGATCCTGCAAAAAACAGGACGGATGGTCACCGTAAATAAAAGAGACTGATGCTTTGTATTTTAACATTTCGTAAATCAGGGTTAATGATTGAGCGCCATTTCTTGTTCATGAATACTTACGTTTTGTGTTTTTTTGAAAATTACCTACATATGTAAGTACTTTCGCGTATGCAGTTTTATAGACCATTCAATTTTAATATAAAAACTGTGAGTGTGATGTGGCTCAAAGTTCGCGTTGATTTTTGAGAACTTTTTTCGTTGGAGGTGTTGCACTCTTTCTTTCATATAAAGCATATTCAAATTTGTTGTACATACAATTATAAAGAACATACAAAAAAAAAAAAATATTAAAAATCAACTTCAATTCCGTGACTCTTTAAACTTGTGCTTTAATCTACTATACTATAGGCCATTAACTATAAAACAGCATACGCGAAAGTTTTCTAAAACCTTTGACAACAAAGTTTTAAATTTTAATGAAAATTTTTTTGTAGATAGTTTACAACTTTAATGTTTATGGGTTTTGTTTTTGAACTTACTATGCTTTTATAAAAAAAATAAATACAATTACATAAAAGGTTATTCAATTGTTAAGACTTATTAATATGTCGCGCTGCTATTTTCGTGAACATATGAGTACGTACATATGTATATATATAAAATATATATATATTACGTTTTGTTGTGTAAAGTTATATCAGAGAATATTAATGTAATGAAATTGGTGATATTCCATGGATTTGTTTTTCAGACAAACAATTTTACGTTCCAAAAATTTCGCACCTTATCTATCTTCTATCTCCTCTGGTAATATAAATAACACTTTTGTAAAAATTTAAATATAAAATAAACAAAGAGAAATAAATGATCAAAACTTAAGAAAAAGTAGTGTCCCTAATGATGTCGCCACCTTTGTATGAATATAAAGGCTCTCAAACTGTTCACAGTGCCTCTACACAAATTTAACAATCAATGTTGGCTGTAAGCAGTTCCGACATGCGCCTAAATTCATGCCACCGAACCGAATTAAGTTTTTATGCTTACTGGGCATTTATAAAGGGAACATAAATTAGGATGAAATATAGGGGGATCAATTATGACTAACAAAAACCCCAAATATACTATACTGATGCAAATTTTCTAAACATGCAAAAATAGGAAGCCAACAATTTACATACAAATACATATGTATCTACACAAATAATTCTTTGGCTTTTTCAATTCACTCACCTTATAACTTTCACCAAATTAGATGAAGATTGCACAGCTACACTTCAATTTAATTTAAAAACAAAATACACTTGTTCGGACCGGCCCGAGCCACTCGCGCACCCCATCGAAACTACATAAATCGCCACGAAAACTAAAATAAACACCGCTCGCGCATATATTTATCTACTTTGTTAATTAAAACACTTAGTTTTCCCAATTTTATAGAAAACTAACACTTTTCACTATATTAAACGCAAACTTTAGCATTTTCAGGAATTTTAACTCGCACTCGACGGAAGCAATCGCGGCACTGTTGAAATGGCGTCGGAAATTCAGTGAAGCGCAGGGGTGTATTTACACTGTGTAAATAAATATGTGGCTAATAAGGTGTTCACAGTGTTGGTGTAGATTGACTAGATTAAACATTAGGATTTGCCAAGCGGTAATATATTTTAACAAAATTTTGATGATATAATTGCGCTCACAACTAAAAAAAAAATGCAGAAATACAAACACAACTTCTATATACAATTTTGTTGGTGTGAATGAAAATATATCGAAACTGGAACGGACCACGGTCAAGCGACAAGTAATGCTTGTAAAAATTTGAATTTTAAAATGATAAAAGCTTATTTTAAAAATCTTGCACAATAGTTTAAAAATCAATAAAAATGTTTAGAGTTTAATAATTGGTGACGAATACAGAATTTAGTGAAGAGATATGCCGATCCGATGGCAATATGTTAGTTGTGTGTTATAAAAGCTCTCATTGAGAAATTAAAAATACACTGGCCTATAGTCATAGTCGTAAGCTAAAACTCATTTTTGTTAAAATATAGTTTTAAGTTTAGATTTTTTTTCGACAGCTTAGCTTCATGCGAAAACAAATTAAGAAATTTGAAATCGGTGGTCCTTCTATCTGAAATTTACCTTATAAATAAACTCTGTTCGTAAACTTTTTGAAGTGAAATTTTTTAATCGAGTCCGCAGATGTTTGCGTTAAATAAATAACACGATGTCAGCAGATTTGCAGCATTCGTTCCATTTTCATAAACGAAATGTCAAATTAGAGGGCCTGACCTGTAAATGTGCAAAAGGATTTCAGTTTTTCAAATAATCGAGTCCGCAGATGTCTGCGTTAAACATTTTGCACAATGCCATCAGTAGCTCGTTTCTGTAACTATTCTCTACCGATTATTTCTCTACTGGTAGAGAATATACATCATTCTCTACTACTCATTAGAAGTAGAGGACAAGGCAGCGTTTTGATCCACGTACTTAAAAATTGATACGTGTTTGTGCAAATTTTCGGAAGATATTTTACTTTTTTCGCTCATTTCGCGAGATACTTAAATTTTTCGCGTAGTACGAATTTTGATACATGACAAAGAGAAAATATGTATGTATGTATGCATGTATGCAGTGGCAGCTTTAAAAGTTTGATCGAAAATATTGAAACGTTTTGGGGTCAAATAAGCTTTAAAAAAATATATATATATTGATATTTTATATATTTTCAGTTTATTATATTCGAATTTATTTTATATTTGAACAATTCTACATAACTTTTCCAGTGTTTTATATCCTGGTTATGTCACTCATGCTTTTTAATCTAAAAGCATCATAACCCTAGTAAACAGCTGTTTGTGTAACGTGACATTGCCGGACTTGCATTTTACGATTTCATTAAATGATGCCGAAGGTGTGAAACCAAATAGCATTTTTTTTAAGTTTTTTCTAACTTGATACTTTGATACTTAAATAAAAAATGTGTGATACATTTGATCCATTTTTTGTTTCTTCTACGATGCACTTTTTCATGACGTCGCGGCAACACTGGCTACAGATCTGCATCGCTCGAATTGTACAGGAGAGAGTAAAGCCTGTCTTATTTCAAACCAGTTCTCTCTTTGTTTCATGATTATTTCTAGCTTTCATATCTAAATATTAATATTTTGGTATGAATGGATAACGCTTGATGTCTGGAGCTTCCGATGAGCAAATCTCATTTTTGGCAAAAATATCAGTTGCGACGACCCAAAAAAGGCTGTGTGTGCTTTTAACCAAACCCAGCTACCGACATTATTTCGACTTGCTGAATTCGAATCTGAGGTCCGTTCGACATGCACTCCTCCAAAATTTCGAGTAATTTGCGAAAAACCAAAAAAAAGGCAAAAAGTTCGCGGGTAGAAGTATCTCTGCCTCACTTTTTTTTTTGGTGTGCCTTTGTTATTATTAAAAATTAACGAAGAAATCGCTCCTATATTTTTTTGTAGCACAAATATTTGTATATATTTGTTTAAAATAAAAATTATTGAAATCGGGTTGCTTGTTTTTTAGCTTTGTTTATTTCTACGAATTTGAAATGTTATCGTCTTTTTAACCAACTTAAAAAAAAATGGGGAGGTTATCAATTCGTCGGAATATCTTTTATGTATGTTACCGCATGAATTTTGGACCATGGGAACCGTTTTCGAAAATTATTTTTTATCGGAAAGTTGGTTTTTTAAGGGTGGTTCGATGCCAATTTAGTTTAATCCCGATCATGGGAGCATTACCGAACTAACGGTAATCATAAATTTTAATATGAGCATATAAATCATTCTTAATCCAAATCCTATGAATCTTTTTTATTTTTATTTTTTTTTATTTTTGTTTTTGTTTGGCCTAAAAGATACTTGTATAAAATACGTGTATCTAAAACAACTTCTTTACTTCTCTAATTGCAGGAGTCTCGTGGCAAGAGACCCCTTAAAATTTGGGATAGTTGGCGAAATGTGCGCAAAGGCGTAGTTGTTGGAACATTCGAGGAGCTATTAGTTAGAGGTAATTAACTATTCGTACTGTAACATTAATGCCTAATTAACTTTTCAATCTATGCGTGTAAATAGGAAAGGATAAATTAGGGGTTCCTGCCTCAGAACCGGTGCGTGTTGTTCTGGAGTGCGATGGAACCCAAATCGAAGATGGCGAATATTTTCGTACATTGGCAAACAACACGGTGCTACTATTGTTAAGGCAGGGCGAACGTTGGTACCCAACAGGTGTTGATGTTATAAAGGCTGGTATGTTAATTTAGAAATCTAAAACTCGAATGCTACTTTAGTTCAGTTAGACATTATTATAAATTAAATTTTTGTTCACCCACTTATTTTGCAGCGATATCAGCTATACCTAAGATCGTCTGTGAGACGATTCACGCGCTCGAATTACACGATGAGACGCCATCTTGGAAGATTATGGATAATAAGGGTCGTGTTACGGTGGTCCTGCATTGGGATCAGCGTCAGGGAGGTGGAGGAGGAGGAGGCGGCGGCGGCGGAGGAGGTGGTGGCGGTGGTGGATGTGCCGGCGGCGTTGGTGGCATGGGACCAAGTGGTAGCGGCGCCAGCGGCAATAACGGACTCATGTCATCGGACAAGTACTCACCATCGAAGAAAGGACTGTCGGCGCAAAGTTCGCTGGACACCAAATCGGTGTCGTCACAATCGTCACAGCAACGCTATGCCAGCCCACAAATAACCGTTATCAGCGATGAAGGTCCAGCGAGCATATACCATCCGGGCGGTGTGGTGCTGCCACCCGGTGTGGTAATACCAGGCACCAGTAGGCGCCTATCCAAGCAGGGCGGCTCATTTGATAGCGCCGTCGGTGCGGTGCACGTGCATACACCCGAATGCGCGCACCATGCGCACACGCCCAGTCGGGCGGGCAGTCCCAGCACCACGGAATGCGATTTTCATTGTTGTGCGCTGCACGAGGAGGGGCGCAAAATAGCCGTGCACAAAAGTGTGGCCACGTCGCCCATACAAGACGGCACCACGAGTCCCCAGCCGCAGCAACAGCAGCAACAACAAGCGACGCTATCAATGTCATCGGTTGTGGATCCTATGATGGGCGGCAGCATGCAGCGACGCTCATCGGGCGTCAAGGGCCATGTACGCTTTCTGGATATTGCGCCGGAGCGTGATAGCTCCGAGAGTGAAACGGAGAATACCGTCATGGAGGACGATAAGACGACGACTGAGAAATTCCTGCTGCTCATCGATCAGCTGTCTGTCGATCAGAAACGACATCTCAGCATCAAAGACATCGGCATCATATTGGAGCGACTCAATTCGAAGATACTCGACGTAGAGCGGCTGGATCGAGAATCGGAATCGGACGATTGCTACAATTGGACGATAAAGGCGACAATACGAGGTGATGCGCTGCGTGAGCTGGGCGTCATCTATAATGGAAACTATTACGCCATATCCGAGCATCCCGGCTACAAGGAGGAAGTCGAAGAGAACGGCGAAGAGGTGGAGGAAGAAGACGAAGAGGATAGAATATAGAAATGCAATTAATTAAATTACAAAAGAAAAATGAAAAAAACATAAAACACACAAATAATTAAATTAAAAAACATTAAGCATTAAAACAGAAAACACACATACACCCACAAATAAACTCATACATACATATATAAAATAATAGTACTAACAACCTATGAAAAAGAAATACAAAAATAATAATAAGGAATGGGCGGAAATTAATAACCAAATTATGTGGAATAAAGTGGCTAAAAATAAATACAAAACGAAATAGAATGGGAAAAATAAGCAAAATGAGTACGTTTAAGTAAGGAATAGTGAAATAATTTTAGTAAATTGAAGTAAATTAATTGAAAAAAAAAAACTAAAACAATAGCAGTTACTTGGTTGGGAAGCAAGGCGTGGCAAAAACAGGGAAGTGAAGAAATTTAAAAAGGCGCGCCAAACACACAACAGAAGCGAACCAGCGTACACAGACACACACAAACATTTAAAAAAAATATGTAACTCCAGAAAAAAAGGTATTTCCGCATTAAAAACACGCAAGGAATAACGAAGAAAATAAACAAGAAACAAAACAAATACCAGAATGCAATTCAATAGCGTTTAAGAAATAGTTAAAAAAAAAAAAACAAGACAAGGTGAAACATAAAAAAGCCCAAATATTGGAGAAACCCCAGTACCCAAACCTTCACTTAACCCAAACACAAAGCAAAAGTTGATACTGGGCGGCTTTCTAACGTAAATACACAGTGAGAAATTCGCATAGCATTAAGTACCGGAAAGCACCAATCACGCATTAACATTACTGCAACCATTGAAAATTAAAAGAAAAAATAACAATAAAATAATAAAATAAAAAGAAAATGTAAAAACATACATGTTTTGAACAAAACAAAATCCCAAAATTAACAATTTATAAACAGTCAGCTGATTTTAAAAACATACACGCACATTTTATATACATATGTACACACACTCGCAGACACAAATCCATACCTACATATCGCTACCTTAATATAGAAAGGCCCTATCTGCCATCGTCGCTGATATACAAAAAGCCGTAACTAACTAAAAATCGAAAATTTACGATTTAATTGATTATGATGCATTTGATCGCATTATGTGGCCCCAAATCGTTTTATGCAATAAAAGATTTTAGTTAGTTACGGCTTTGTGCATTTCAGCGACGATGTGAGATAGGGCCTTTCTATATTAAGGCAACGATATGTACATACATACGTGTGGACATTTGATAAAACAATTTAACGCGAATACTAATTTTAAGGTATGTATTAGGGTGGTCCGAGAAAGGTAAAGTCGGAATTTCGGAATATGTCGAAAAAAATTTACGCCTATTTTTTATTTTGAAATCAAAAAATATTTAGATATTTATTTAACCATCTTTAATACTAAAGATTTTTTTATTTGTTTCCCATTGAATTTTCTGGCATTTTTTCTGGGGTTTTCGGAGGACCTTTAAAATATAGTTACTATAAAAATATGGTTTAATAAATAATTGGGTATTATTATTAAGAATCTCCTGAACGGAAACAAAGTTTTCTGATAAAAAAAAAAATGATTTTTATGAATTCTATACCATTTCTAAGAAAAGTTGTTTTCCCATATCACATATGTACATGGACAATTTTGAGCGCTTTGAGCAACCTCTAAATATTTTTTGATATATATATTTATATACACATTTTTTCGGTTTAGAACAATCCTAGGGGCTGACATTTTTGACCACCCTAGTACGCATACAGTATGTTGGGTTCCCACACAAAATTTTAACTATAAGCCAATCATCAGCAATAGTATAAAATACCAAAAGAGCTTAGCAAAAATATAACAATCCTAGGGTGTGACAGCATAAAAATTTCGACTTTACTTTTTCACATGCATTTTTGACCACCCTAGTACGCATACAGTATGTTGGGTTCCCATACAATATTTTAACTATAAGCCAATCATCGGCAATAGTTTAAGATTGCAAAAGAGCTTAACAAAAATATAATTTTGTTTTATTCTAAAATCATATAGATACGTAAATTGTTTTGTCAAAAACCACAGATATGTATGTAAGTATATTTATACTCCGACATAATAAACTGCATTCATAAGTTTTTTAGGTAATATATAATCCTTACAATACAAATAGTATGTATAAGTTAAGCTATAAAAAATTACAAAACATACAAACAATATGAAACTCATTTACCTATACATGCATACATACATATATGTATTTTGTATGTATGTGAACCAATGGAATTATTTAAATCAAAAACTCAGTTAACTTTCTCTCTTACACAATGCAATCAAATGTGATTTAACTTAGTACTTATTTATGGCTTACCATATTATCATGTTATTGTACATAGTACGAATATATGTTTGTAAAATACCTACATACATACAAATATAATACAGCTTATTTTATATTAACTGCCGGAAAGCAAAAGCTGCGCAAACATATCGCTCGTTTACAAGAAGAACGTCATATTCGAACATAAATTTAAAATTGAGAAAAACGACTGTAAACTTTTTAGTCGGCTATTTCTTCAGGAATGAAAATAAAGTTGCGTCCCCGAACTAGCCAGAAGTTGCAAGCATTTACCAAAATTTATCAGAAAGCCTTCCCGTACTCGGTTCTCTGGAAGAGGAGGGGAAAAATGGTAGAGTAAAATAGGTACTCTCTTTGTATGAAGTCGCAAGATTTTACCTGAAGAATTTTTGCTGGTTACATCGGCTAAAGTGTCAAGCCATCAGCTGTTCTGAGCTGTCAAAGCAAATTAAAAGTCTCGTAAACATATTTTCTTATAATTTAGTAAATCTTCAAAAATAAAAAACCGTTATGTAAACAAAAAATGGCGTCTACGACGTATTTGAAAGAATTACCAGTTTTTCCCTCGAAAAGCGGTGCCGTACTTTTAGGGTTTTTTTCTCTCTCAGAGAAAAGTTTTGCCTTTTAGCAGTTTACAGGTTTTATCCGGAAAAGTTGAGGAGTGAAACTAAAAAGACATAAGAGGATATAGCTGTCCTCTTACTTTACCTTGCTTCCGTTCTTCAAACCATACAAAAGCATAAAACAGAAAACATGAAAAGAATATATGTAATTTAATTTAAAAGTGTGCCTAAAGCAATTTGCTAAGCAAAAGTAAGTATATAAATGAGTATTTGCTTTCTTCCGAAACATTTGCAATTTTAATAAGTTATTTTAAACTTAAAAATTATCAAAATAAATTTCATTAATTTCATAAATGGCAGACAGATGACTTTGATCAGCTGTTTTTCTTGCTGGCAAAAATTTTCCCAGCAGGAACTAGCAGCTTCTCATCAAAATTAAATGTCAGTTTGGTCGATCAATTTCCCCAACTTTGCAGACATTTTGTGTTCCTGATAGTTATCAAAAACTATCAATACGCCAACGCACCTAATATCAAATTGAAAAAGAATTGTTTGTTTGTTTATTTTTTTTTATAAGAGAGCCTAATTCAGGTTTCTTTGGTATATGGCATTCTTCCAGCGAGCGATGTGCACGTATTTACATATCGTCGCCCGTTTGCCAGAAACATGAATGTGTAAAAATGAAAATTTTGGGAAATCAAGTATGAAAGTTTTTTTATACTAGACTTATGTAACTCTACATTTATGCAATTGAAATTTTAAAATATATGTTTTTTGTGTACGCATTGTATTCTGGATCCAAAGGCCAATCAAGTCAACGCAATAGCTCAAAACTGATCAATTTGCACATTCATACTTCTGGCATAAGGGTGACGATTTTATTTATATACATTGACGGACATGAAAATTTGGTTGTTATAGAATTTTGTTTTAGGTAAAAAATGAACATTTCTTTTTCATTTTTGTTTTGTTTTTGTTAAAAATCGTAATTTTCATAAGCAAAGGCGATTTTTGGTTTTTCGATCATACTTCACGGTTAACCTAAGTTAAATTTTTTATCTTGCTGTTTTCTTTTAGATATGAAAAGGCCTGCTTTAGGCTTGTATGTAAATCATTCATGCTTTTCAAAGCATCAAGACTCCACTGCGTATCGTTGGTTTGCGCATTTCAAACCTTATTGTTTCAGTGTATTTGACTTAATTCATGCACTCTATGCGACCATTTTGGCATTGAGGCCTACCGGAAGAAAATTTAGGTATACTGGAAGTAACTCCAACGCCACCGTTTATATTTCTTCACTTAGTTATAAGAATAAATTATAAACTTTGGAAGTCACCACTTAGAGAATTAGTCTAACTACTGCTGAATGTAACCAGGGTATTTTTCTGGGTCGCAGACAGATTCATCATCTCGCAACCTCTGCCACCTCTCTTCAAAAATATTTTCGGAGTGCAGCTTTTTTAACCTCCATCGTTTAATGCCCATACCAAAGTATTTCCTTTAACTTGTTGATAAAATTTATTTTGAATTTAAGAACAGGTGCTAACCCTGTCTAAATAAAACTTGTCTCTTTTGAAACACATGATTTAACTTAAAAATTTAACTTATTTCAACGTTTGCAACCTTCTTCGAAAATATTTTCAAAATAAATCGTTTTTGAACCGCTTTCGTTTGACAACCACATTCTTGTAACATTATTTTTTTTTTTAACTTATCATTTGATTGCTTTATACTTAAAAAAAAGGAGGCAACTGCCTTAAAGATGCTCCCATATTTAATCCAGGTTATAAAAAACCAAAATATTTTAATGTCAGGTCCGTCACTGTATTCAGCAATTTTATCATATAAACTTTTTTTTTTGAAATTTGATTTATGACTTATGATTGATTTCAAATCCTCTACCACATAACCTTCATAAAAAACTACAAATACACAATCATAATCTACATGCAATTAAACGTTAAAATTAAACTGTTTTAAATAAGTGATTTTCAAGCACATGAATACCTCTTTATAAATATGTACGTATGCATCTATGTGTTAAGTATTTAGATGGCAATAAAATATGTGTGAAACTTACAGTCTTCTTCCAGATTTTAGATTCTATTTAGTTTAGGAATTGAATTTGCAAAACAAACCGCTCAAACTAAGTTTTAACTCAAACATGATTAACATAATT